AAAAAGTTTTATATAGAAAAACTGAAAATTTTGATATTAGTATATAGAAAACTTTTTTTTTACTAAGATAACCTTTTTGTACACTTAGACAGAAGTTATTCAGAATATAATTTTACATATAATTCTTACTTTAAACTTACTAAATTTTTTCTTTTGGCAAAGTTATATTTTTAAATTGTAGCAAAATTGCAAAATTTTAATTCGGCTTAAACCACATTTTTTTCACCTTTTCTTGATGTATTTATTCATAGTTAATATGTAAATAAAAAATATCATCGCAACAAAGTTTATATGTAATTTTATATATTTTTATTATAATTTATATATAAAAAAATTAGACCCAAAATTCTGTAAAAAATCAGGTAACTAGTATGTAATTATATTATTATATCTTGCATAACTTTGAATAACAAATGAATCTTAATATAAAAGAAAAAATCTTGTATCGCTATATACAAAAAAAATTTTAAGTACAATATTTGAATGGATCAAAGCTTGTCATTAATCTTGGATACCAAGTCAAAGTAATTGCTAGTTGTATATTGTGCTGCTCTCTTCCTTTCTATTATTATCAAATAAAATTTTTCATGCCTAATAAATAAGTGTGATTTAAATTTTTTATAAGAATTTTGCTATGAATTAGCTATTGGTGGCCTTATATAAGTATGAATAAGTAAGTGAAATATGATTAATATAATATAGTATATAATATTTAGATTTAAAAAAATAGCAATTAATTTAAAATTTATATACAGTCAAACTTCTCTAAATATATAGCGTCAGGACTATAGTAAAAAATTGAGTTAAAAATATATTTAAGGAGGTTATACATTTAGGGAGATAAAAATCTATAAGTATTATATTAATTAGGCCCAAGAAAAGACATGCATTTAGGAAGGTTTTTCATATATATGCATTTAGAGAGGTTGTATTTAGGGAGGTCCAACTGTATAAGCTATTATATTAACTTTGACTTTGCCGTTACCTTTGCTTTCACCTTTGCCTTTATCTTTATTTAAGTTTAAAAATAGTAAATCAACTTTCTTGGATAAAACAGAAGTTACTCAACAAATATCTGCTATAGAATTAGAACCTGCTAGCACTATAGATAATAGGTTATTTGTGTAAAAGTACTTTAAAAAGAGCAGTTTTTCCACTAAATGTGATATTTGTAAAAAAACGCTTAAATATTCGGATGGGTCAACCTCCAATCTCAGAAAATATCTCAAACAATGCACTTATATTAATAAAGTACCAGAATATGCCAATAAAAAGCAAACCATATCTGTCATAGATATGCTAAAAAATTAGTCAAATCATTGTGAAAAATTTGATTAAAAAAAGCTTAACAATATGATTAAGCAATAGATCATTATACACAACCAACCATTTTATTTGATTGAAGATAATAGACTTAAATTAATAATTTCATATTTGGAATCTAAAACAAAAGATATGTTTTATTAGTATTATTATTATGGTTATTATAATATAATAATTAAATTTTTTTTTTAGTACTTTTGCTAATTCTATAAAAAAGCATGTAATGAATATTTTTGATAATAAATGTAAAATACTTAAACAAAAACTACAAGAAATTCTAGGGGTGTTTTAATAACTACCAACATATGGATAACATGCCTATATAAAAAATCATTCATAAAATTACAATTCATTTTTTAGACAATTCATAGTATATAAAACTTTATTGTTAGATTTTATTCATATAGATGGCCTGCATACTGGTGTAGTGATCTCTAATATATTAGAAGAGTGTTTTCAATCTATGGGTTACTTTCTAAATTAGTTGCAGTCACACATGATAATACGTCATCTAATATTAAATTTTTAAGTAAATTCTCAAATTCTATAATACAAAATAGGGTCCAATTTGAGAGTACGCAACAATCAATTTGATGCTTTAGATATATTTTAAACCTTGCTATTCAAAGTTTGTTTATGCATGTAGGTAATAAAGTTGGAAAGTTGTATATATTAATTAAAAACATTAAAAGCTTACACACACTCTACAAAAAAATTAAAATAACATGTCAAAAAAAATAATTTAAGTATTTTAAAACTGATTCTTGACGTTATTACGAAGTAAAACTCAACCTGCAAGATAATCGAATATATATTAAAATTACAAACTGTACTGGATGCTATTGCTCGTTCTGAAGATGATTTAAATAAATATTTACTTAGTAAATTAGAATAGAGTAGGCTTAAACAACTTGTAGAAATTCTACAACCATTTAAAGATACAATAGTTACAATATTATTTTCTAAATATCCTATACTAATAATAACCATATCTCTTTATTATGAATTGCTCAAAACTCTTGAAGAATATCAGGAAAATAATGAAATACCAGAGTGGCTTATTGAAAGATATAGTGTCACTAAGAATAAACTTTTAGACTTAAAACTCAATATTTTGAACAATTAAACTAGCTATTCTATCTGATTACTTAGATTAAAAAATATATAAGTATTTAATTTGTTGTATTTTTTTATCTTTATTAAAATATTTTATTAATTCTGCAAATATAATATTTTAGTATTGAAAGTAAATATAAATATAGATATGCATCTAGTCAAAATGCAGTAGGATGAAAATAGAAGTTCTGGTCTACTTTTTCTACATCTAGGGTACCAAAGTGGTCATCTTGTTGTTTTCACGTCTTTGCAAGTCTATATTCTATATTATTTTTTCTCACCTATATAAAAATGTAGTATAAATTTTTATATAGCTATAATTGCTTATTTTTTATTTTTATAAGTCAATTGAATGATGACAAAAATATAAATTTTATATCACCCGAGTATGTCAAATTAATCCAAGACCCAAAGGGTTATTGCTTCGCAATACTCTATTAATTTTTATAAAGTAGAAGCTTCTGAGCCTTTTCTTGAAGTCTATTAATATACTGAGTTATATAATATCTATTAGTATGCTTTCTATAAAGGCCAGGTTTAGAGCTAGTTGGTTTACTACAAACTTTACAAGGAAAATGCTTTTTAGCTTTTCAATATTCATAGCATCCTTCAGGCTAACGACAAGTATGTCCACAAATAACTCCTATTCTGAGTAAATAATTACAAGTATATTCACCTATCATGGTATATAAATATGAAAATTTCAATTTAAACAAAAATTCTAATATATTAATACAAATAATGGAATACCAGCACCCATATATAATGAACATACAAATTTAAATAACTGAAACCAAACCCACATATCAAGAAGTTGAACAAGCTTTAATTAATGTAGTTAAAGCAGAACTTTATTATAGAAAACCAAAAGATAGCAAGTTTATGCAAAACTATAAAGAAAGAATTAAAAAATTACATTAAGCAAAAGATCAGAAGAGTATATATTAAATTCAGCTATAACCATATTCTCTAATAAAGACAAATATAATAAAACTATGAATGATTGCAAATTATGGTATGGTAATGATTCAAAGATTTTTAATTCTATTATAGAACTATATAAGCTATATTCCAAATTAGCTAAAGATTATTTCGTTAAAAAAGCCCAGATCGATAAAGAAGCAGAAGAATTTTTTAATTTGTAAAAGACCAGAAATATCAACTTGAACTATTTTACGAATGTCTCTTATTATAAGTCTCTGATTCTCTTTTGGCTCTAACTCATAAGGGTCCCAATTATTTGCCTAATATTTATTTGCCTGACAATTACTTTCTTGACAACCATTTGCCCAACAATTACTTGCCCAACATCTTTATTTGCTTAACAATCATTTGCCTGACACCTTTAAAATATTAAAAAAGTGATTATAAATAAAAAAAAAGTATCGGGCAAGTGATTGTCAAACAAATGAAGATGTTGGGCAAATAATTGTCAGGCAAATGGTTGTCGAGAAAGTATTTATCAGGCAAATAAATATCAGGCAAATAATTGGGACCCGAAATTACTATATACAGATTTTCATAATACTATATTTCAATAAGTACTATTTAATTTTTATTGAAAAGCTCTTTTTTTAGCTGATCTCATGCAAACTGCTTTTTAAAATCTTGGTTTTTATGAAAGAATATATGGAAACATTCATTGAACTTCAATAGCAAAACCATATTGTAGATAGTATATATCAAGCTCAAGTCCTAATAGGTGATTAGGTATTTTTAAGAAATTTGGTTTATGAATATCAGATGGTGGGCCTAATAATTTCATTGCTATTTTCTTGCAGAGATCTTGTCTCTTCTATGGACAAAATAGATACCATGTATTTGCATTTTTTATACTATTTAAAGTTGCATACTATTCATGCTTTTTTTCATACTACCATTTTAATTTTGTATATGCACCATTATATATTTTAGAAAAACATAATCTTTTATTTTTAGTCGCAATTTTTCTAGCTTTATCAATGGAGAGTTTTGTATTATCTAAACAGTGAGGATACTATATATTCAAGTTTTTTATACATCTAAGATTTGTATACCATTGATGGCCTTTATTATATTCCTATAAAAGTAAAGAATCTATATTTATATATTTTTTGATAAACATTTTCTATCTTTTTTAAGAGCAATTTCTTTAGCAATATTAATATCAAGTTTAGAACATTCTGCACATTAAGGACACTATGAATTTTAATTTTTTATTATATTTAATACTGCATGCCAAATATGTTCTTGATGATATTTCCATTT